GATGGGAAGGATGTCAGACGCAGGAGGAGGCTGCCGATGACAAGGATTCAGAGTCGCGCACGGCGCCATGAAGAGCTCCACGGATGCCAGTGTTCGTCTGGGCAGAAACCTGAAGCTTCCATGCTGCCACTGGTTTATGTCGGACTTGTGGACAGCGCGCGCAACTCGGATTCAGAAGCAAAAGGCTGTGTTCTGCCACCAAGACTTGTGCGGCTTGCGTAGCACCGCTTTACTGACATTGCCTTGCAGCACTTCTGATTTCGCTTTCACCATGCATTCTTGTTTATAAGCCTACCTGCGAGGTGGAACTCTGTTACGACGCGGACACGTCTGGTCGGCTCGGGCAGAGTCTCTGCCTCATCTCTTACGGATGTTCAGAAAGCTGGACACTCGGCGATGCTCTGCTGAAAAGGTCGGATCCATGTCGAGCGTCTCCATACCTGTGACTGCAAGTCATAAACAGGTTGCGCAGCTGGCCAACCCTTTGCAGTCGCGTTGCCTCTCGCCGGGACCTCAGTCCCGCATGGACTTACAGTTCGGCTTCAATTTCACTTCGAGTTCAGGCAGGTTTCAAGTGCAATCAAAGGCTTCCGGTAATATTTCGGATGAGTCTGCAGATGCCCTAATTGCCCTAAGGCCATCTGACCTTCGCCCTCAGGAGCCTTTCGGGGATACTGAGAGGGTCTTGGGGGGTTCCAATGCCTACGCTTGGCTTCGATAGCATACCTTTGACTTTACGAAGCCAGGTTAGATTCCTTTTCGCTTTGGCAGGTCGCCCGCGCGAGCACGGGTCTAGGACGTCCTGAAAGAGAAACAACAGCGCGCACGGACAAAACACGAAATTACTTAGGGGCGGCCTGCGTTGGGGTTGACATGGGTTGACATTACCACCTAGACGATTGTCCTGTGCAAGGCCTGGCCGCAGCCCCAGTCATAAGGTTTTGCAGTAAGTCTTCTGGCTCCTAGAATCTAGCTAGAATCTAGCTGTTCCAACGCACCTGTTAACCTTACACTAATTTTCCAGTGAAACGCGATGGCACCTCTTCGAGCTCTGTTCGGGCATGAGAGCACAGCCACCGCTCTTGTCACGCAGAGCGTTCCGGGCTGCAAGATGAAGAGCCAGTATGTCACGGGAACAACGCGCGCTGCCAGGGCAATGTACCGGAAGCCGCCCGGCCAGGTCTTGGCGTGACCACAGGATTCACCGAAGAATTGCTGGTCTGGACTTCGCGCTGGCTTCCTTCGATGTTCCTCAGGATGATCTCAGAATTTCAGCATTTCATTCTGAGAAGCCAGTTTGACCATTTTCCGGATTCATTGATAGCTGCTCGAGATGGACATTGTGCTGGCTTCCTTTTCGTCTTCCCTATCTGTAGGCTGCTGCTAGAATCAAATGAATTGCTCCTCACTTTCCTACTGCTGTCCTGGTTTCCCTAAGGTTTAGGCACCAACCCAGGACCCCGGAATCAGCCAGCGCACACACAGAGAACCGACGTAACAGGCTTCAATTAAATTAAGTGAACGGAATCCAGTTCAGGAACTCAGGGATGGGCTGGGGTCCACCCTAAGCTGCTGCTGAATTTTGCGTGCTTCCTCAGGGTTTTGGGGATCCGCCTTCTCGGGGCGAAGGCCTCTCCCAAAGCTTTCAGGCCATCAACAAGTGCAGGAGTTGCCCTTCAGCCGGTCAGGCCCAAGGGGCAACTCCTGAATAAGCAAAGATAAGCCCCACTAGGCCCCCGGAACTGTAGGGTTTAATCGTGGGTTTATAAAAATGAGCTCTGGAGCAAACCATGTTTGGTTCGTTAGGTTGTTGCTGTCGCTAGGAGCTTCGGGTTTGAGATAAGTCAATAGATACTAGTGCTCCAGGGCTTCATCAACGACAACACCCAACACCAGGCAAACCACCCGGTGACGGCCTCAGGTCTTCCAACGTCGAGTTCAATTGCGGATTGCGCGGCCCCGACAACTATTTCGACGGGTAGCTACCTTGATCAGTGCCAGCATCCCACGCGAGTGGAGTGTGAGTGCTTAGATGTTGGCCGTGCAGGTACAGATGATCTCCCCTCATGGGCGGAAAGCGGCCTTGCACCGCCGACACTCGCTGTATCTGCCGACCCGGATTCGGAAAGAGATCAAGCGCTTGCTTAGGAGACGCACTCGGCGACTAGCGTCGCCCCTTCATTTAACAAAGATCGACAGCTACATTGGTTCTGCGGCCTGAGGTCGCGCCTCTTTGCAGTAAGTCTTCTGGCTCCATCTAATCTAGCTAGAATTTAGCTGCCTCAACCCACCTGTTAACCTTACAATAAGTTTCCAGTGAAACGCGATGGCACCTCTTCGAGCTCTGTCTGAGTTTCGGGCATGAGAGCACGGCCACCGCTCTTCTCACGCAGGGCGTTCCGGGCTGCAAGATCGAGGGCTGGCAGTTGGAGCCCCCGCGTCGCCTCTCGCCGGGACCTCAGTCCCGCGTGGACTTACAGTTCGGCCTCAATTTCACTTCGAGTCCGGGCAGGTTTCAAGTGCAATCAAAGGCTTCCGGGAATATTTCGGATGAGTCTGCAGATGCCCTAATTGCCCTAAGGCCATCTGACCTTCGTCCTCAGGAGCCTTTCGGGGATACTGAGAGGGTCTTGGGGGATTCCAATGCCTACGCTTGGCTTCGATAGCATACCTTTGACTTTACGAAGCCATAGATTCCTTTTCGCTTTGGCAGGTCGCCCGCGCGAGCACGGGTCTAGGACGTCCTGAAACAGAAACAACAGCGCGCACAAACAAAACAGGAAATTACTTAGGGGCGGCCTGCGTTGGGGTTGACATTCATTACCACCTAGACGATTGTCTTGTGCAAGGCCTGGCCGCAGCCCCAGTCATAAGGTTTTGCAGTAAGTCTTCTGGGCTCCATCTAATCTAGCTAGAATTTAGCTGCCTCAACCCACCTGTTAACCTTACAATAAGTTTCCAGTGAAACGCGATGGCACCTCTTTGAGCTCTGTCTGAGTTTCGGGCATGAGAGCACGGCCACCGCTCTTCTCACGCAGGGCGTTCCGGGCTGCAAGATGGAGGGCTGGCAGTTGGAGCCCCTTTGCTCGACTTTGGCCTTGGACAAGACGGCGAGAGCAAGTGCTGATTGCGCGCTGGGTTCCAGATTTTATTCCAGGGTGCTTGCTCCGCGCCAGAGGCATGCTCCAGTATCCAAGAAGGCGCCGCCCCCACAGTCCCGCAAGGCTCCTCCGCCGCAGCTTGACCCGTGCGCCTCGGGAGGAACCTGGCTTGGGTTGCATCGAGATCTTACTGTCGCCTTCACGCACGTTGCGAAGTCTCGCAGCCATTTCATCTAGCCAAGTTTTGCAAGGCCCGGTTGTCGGCGTCCGAAGAATGACTGCTCGACATGGACATCGTGCTGGCTTTCTTTTCGTCTTCCCTATCTGTAGGCTGCTGCTAGAATCAAATGAATTGCTCCTCACTTTCCTACTGCTGTCCTGGTTTCCCTAAGGTTTAGGCACCAACCCAGGACCCCGGAATCAGCCAGCGCACACACAGAGAACCGACGTAACAGGCTTCAATTAAATTAAGTGAACGGAATCCAGTTCAGGAACTCAGGGATGGGCTGGGGTCCACCCTAAGCTGCTGCTGAATTTGGCGTGCTTCCTCAGGGTTTTGGGGATCCGCCTTCTCGGGGCTAAGGCCTCTCCCAAAGCTTTCAGGCCATCAACAAGTGCAGGAGTTGCCCTTCAGCCGGTCAGGCCCAAGGGGCAACTCCTGAATAAGCAAAGATAAGCCCCACTAGGCCCCCGGAACTGTAGGGTTTAATCGTGGGTTTATAAAAATGAGCTCTGGAGCAAACCATGTTTGGTTCGTTAGGTTGTTGCTGTCGCTAGGAGCTTCGGGTTTGAGATAAGTCAATAGATACTAGTGCTCCAGGGCTTCATCAACGACAACACCCAACACCAGGCAAACCACCCGGTGACGGCCTCAGGTCTTCCAACGTCGAGTTCAATTGCGGATTGCGCGGCCCCGACAACTATTTCGACGGGTAGCTACCTTGATCAGTGCCAGCATCCCACGCGAGTGGAGTGTGAGTGCTTAGATGTTGGCCGTGCAGGTACAGATGATCTCCCCTCATGGGCGGAAAGCGGCCTTGCACCGCCGACACTCGCTGTATCTGCCGACCCGGATTCGGAAAGAGATCAAGCGCTTGCTTAGGAGACGCACTCGGCGACTAGCGTCGCCCCTTCATTTAACAAAGATCGACAGCTACATTGGTTCTGCGGCCTGAGGTCGCGCCTCTTTGCAGTAAGTCTTCTGGCTCCATCTAATCTAGCTAGAATTTAGCTGCCTCAACCCACCTGTTAACCTTACAATAAGTTTCCAGTGAAACGCGATGGCACCTCTTCGAGCTCTGTCTGAGTTTCGGGCATGAGAGCACGGCCACCGCTCTTCTCACGCAGGGCGTTCCGGGCTGCAAGATCGAGGGCTGGCAGTTGGAGCCCCCGCGTCGCCTCTCGCAGGGACCTCAGTCCCGCATGGACTTACAGTTCGGCCTCAATTTCACTTCGAGTCCGGGCAGGTTTCAAGTGCAATCAAAGGCTTCCGGGAATATTTCGGATGAGTCTGCAGATGCCCTAATTGCCCTAAGGCCATCTGACCTTCGTCCTCAGGAGCCTTTCGGGGATACTGAGAGGGTCTTGGGGGATTCCAATGCCTACGCTTGGCTTCGATAGCATACCTTTGACTTTACGAAGCCATAGATTCCTTTTCGCTTTGGCAGGTCGCCCGCGCGAGCACGGGTCTAGGACGTCCTGAAACAGAAACAACAGCGCGCACAAACAAAACAGGAAATTACTTAGGGGCGGCCTGCGTTGGGGTTGACATTCATTACCACCTAGACGATTGTCTTGTGCAAGGCCTGGCCGCAGCCCCAGTCATAAGGTTTTGCAGTAAGTCTTCTGGGCTCCATCTAATCTAGCTAGAATTTAGCTGCCTCAACCCACCTGTTAACCTTACAATAAGTTTCCAGTGAAACGCGATGGCACCTCTTTGAGCTCTGTCTGAGTTTCGGGCATGAGAGCACGGCCACCGCTCTTCTCACGCAGGGCGTTCCGGGCTGCAAGATGGAGGGCTGGCAGTTGGAGCCCCTTTGCTCGACTTTGGCCTTGGACAAGACGGCGGGAGCAAGTGCTGATTGCGCGCTGGGTTCCAGATTTTATTCCAGGGTGCTTGCTCCGCGCCAGAGGCATGCTCCAGTATCCAAGAAGGCGCCGACCCCACAGTCCCGCAAGGCTCCTCCGCCGCAGCTTGACCCGTGCGCCTCGGGAGGAACCTGGCTTGGGTTGCATCGAGATCTTACTGTCGCCTTCACGCACGTTGCGAAGTCTCGCAGCCATTTCATCTAGCCAAGTTTTGCAAGGCCCGGTTGTCGGCGTCCGAAGAATGACTGCTCGACATGGACATCGTGCTGGCTTTCTTTTCGTCTTCCCTATCTGTAGGCTGCTGCTAGAATCAAATGAATTGCTCCTCACTTTCCTACTGCTGTCCTGGTTTCCCTAAGGTTTAGGCACCAACCCAGGATCCCGGAATCAGCCAGCGCACACACAGAGAACCGACGTAACAGGCTTCAATTAAATTAAGTGAACGGAATCCAGTTCAGGAACTCAGGGATGGGCTGGGGTCCACCCTAAGCTGCTGCTGAATTTTGCGTGCTTCCTCAGGGTTTTGGGGATCCGCCTTCTCGGGGCTAAGGCCTCTCCCAAAGCTTTCAGGCCATCAACAAGTGCAGGAGTTGCCCTTCAGCCGGTCAGGCCCAAGGGGCAACTCCTGAATAAGCAAAGATAAGCCCCACTAGGCCCCCGGAACTGTAGGGTTTAATCGTGGGTTTATAAAAATGAGCTCTGGAGCAAACCATGTTTGGTTCGTTAGGTTGTTGCTGTCGCTAGGAGCTTCGGGTTTGAGATAAGTTAATAGATACTAGTGCTCCAGGGCTTCATCAACGACAACACCCAACACCAGGCAAACCACCCGGTGACGGCCTCAGGTCTTCCAACGTCGAGTTCAATTGCGGATTGCGCGGCCCCGACAACTATTTCGACGGGTAGCTACCTTGATCAGTGCCAGCATCCCACGCGAGTGGAGTGTGAGTGCTTAGATGTTGGCCGTGCAGGTACAGATGATCTCCCCTCATGGGCGGAAAGCGGCCTTGCACCGCCGACACTCGCTGTATCTGCCGACCCGGATTCGGAAAGAGATCAAGCGCTTGCTTAGGAGACGCACTCGGCGACTAGCGTCGCCCCTTCATTTAACAAAGATCGACAGCTACATTGGTTCTGCGGCCTGGGGTCGCGCCTCACCAATGTACGACTGACACACATGTTACTTGTACAATTATTCTTGACGCGTCACTCTTTACTTTCGCGCGGTTTCGCACTCGCACTCCCGCACACACACTCACACTCACGCACTCACACTCACGCACTCACTCATGGCCACACACTCACTCCATCGCTCTCTCACTCTCACTTCTCTACTCTTTCTGAATGGAAAACTTTGCATGTGGGGTTATCCGGTCCTTTAATTATATCTCTCTCGCTCTCTCTCGCTCTCTCCCTCCTCCCTCTCCCTCTCTCTATATATATACATATGCATACACATACTACAGAATCCTATGTTCTCCTCAAGACAGCCAAGGGCCCACATTACGGCCCATCATCGAGGGCCGTAAAGGGCTTGGAGCGTTTTGTTGTTTGTTGTTGGGGTGTATGCTTTTGGGGTCATTTTGGGTGAGGGGTGCTTCCTTCTGATTGGCTATCACTCCGCTAACCATTGCTACCCTGACCCTAGACCCCAAATCCCAAACTACCAATCCTGAGACTCAAACTTGAACTACCCTGGTACAGGAGCCTTGCGGCCTTGCAGTGGCATCAGGACATCATGTCACGGGCAAACTTTTTGGTTTAATGGGTACTTTTTTGGGCGTCTTTATCCCCGGTGATGGCCTGGGCCGGCTTGGAGGGGACTCAGCCCAGGCCAAGTAAGCCCTTAGCCCTCCCGAACAAACGACTGAGGCAAGAGGCCCAGAAGTCATAATCATCCATGGACTGGTGGTCCTGACTTGAGAGGATGCATTGCGGAGCGGGAGCTCTTGCAACAAGAACATCGGATTCTTAGGGTGTTTGGGTTTACGCACTAAGCAGCAGCCTGAAAAGGTCTGTGGCGCCGCCTACGTCGTAAAACAATCAACTGGTTTAGCATTCTAGATATCAATGTATATAACAAAACAGCACGAAAGAAAGGGGTCTTAGCCTATAACCCCTGACGCTTAAAACCCTAAAACTCCTCCCAAAATCGAATCGGGCTTGGTAGTCGACAGTCCATGGCTTAGAGGGTAGGTTTGAGGCCCGCAGAGGTCTGATCCCACAGTAGAAACCAGTCGAACAATGGGGATTAGGCTTTTAGGGCTTACGTAAAAAGTTCCTTCAATAGAGCAGGTGTGCAATAGGAATATAGGTGCCAGAGTCCTGTGATTTGACCTCTTACTTTCCTGCAGTTACGATTTCAGGGGTTCGATACCATTCCCAGTTGAGAATTTCCGACCAAACCGGCTGGAACCCGCAAGGCCCTGAATCCTCCAAAAGAAGGGTCTCGTGCTCAAAGGTTCCAGGGTCGAGCTTTTGGGACTTGGGGCTCCCATTTCGAGAACGTCAGCCCAAGCCCATTGTCGCTGGCCTTTTCGGGAAGTTGGTGGGCCGTGTCATGGGCGTTGACGGACAAGGGGTAGGTCAGCCTCGAGTAGCTTGTGCAAGCTTAAGCCCGAAACCCCAGAGACCCTGCAGGATCTCTCCGCCGCCCATCAGAACTGAGCATGGGCCGCTTGCATCTAGAACCTGAAAGACACAAAGCTGCAATCCCAGTTGGGGCTGCCGTGCCACTATTGACTGTTGCAATGACTGAAGGGATTCAGGCGTAGGTTTCAGCTTGGGTGTCTTACGATTGTCTCAATGAATACAGCGGTTCCGCCCAGAGAGCCTGGCCCTCCTAAACTCTCAATCTAAACCCTAAACCCTAACACAAACTCCAAACTCTAAACCTAAGCTCTAAACTCAAAACAAACTCCCGAAGCTCAAGTCGAGGGCATCGGGTGCAGCCGTGACGCAGGAAGACATCGTCGAACCAGCCTTGGGTGAACCTCAGAGTCTTCCCGTTTCTCGGGCAGAAAGGAAAACGGGATCTAAGGAACTTCCCTCACCAATCCGGCAGAAGCAGAAAGCCGGATTTGGTTTATGAGGAACAACCTTCGCAAAAGGCTGGCTTTAGGGGGGCCAGGCGCGGCAATCTAGGGCCGTGGGGTTTGGGGTGCAGGCTTTGGGTGTCAAGTTCCCGGCTCAGGGTTGTCTGGGCAGGCTTTGACCCTGAAATTCCAGACTTCTTTGTCCCTTCTAGGCTGAGAGGAACTCGCCCCCAGGACCCCATACCTTCTGCGCGCACCTAAGGCCCTGGCTTCTCGTCGAGGAATCGCCTCCCTTCGTGGCATTCCTTGAGGCCACCCCAGCTTCTACTGAAGGGCTTGTCAAGGTTTATCAGGTTTGGAACACCTTGCTGAGGTTGAAGGTTTTGGGTTCAGGGTTTTTGGAGCCTTCTCTCATGACGCCACATTTTTTGGACTCTTCGGCCTGTGAAAGCACGGAGCCACTGTGAGTGAGCCCAGACAGCGGTGGTACCTGAACCGCCTCAACCCTAAAGCCAATCCCGTAGCAACGACTTTGCACGGGATGCAGCGTGGTGAAAGCTTGCAGTTTCCGAACCCTTAGGCTGATTGTCCTAAATGAGGGTCCCAGGACCCACACACAGACGCACATTCATGGAGTGCTGGGATTCTTTGCGCAAAACATGGATAACAGGCCTCATGTCTGGCGAGCTCCTCCGGGTCTGGATTCTCAAGGTGGGTAAAACAAGCAGGACCTCTTACACCTCCGACAAGCAGCAAGACAACCACGGAACGCTACACGGCGGCCAGCAAAGAACACAACAGAAGCAACGTGCCAAACAAAAGGAGTCTCAAAACAGAACCTAACAGAACCTAACCATCAAGTGAAAGAGCTCCAGACAGCCAGCAAGCTGGTGCTGCACGAGTTCAAGGCATGTGGGGCAAGGCAAGGGCCTTGTAGAAGAGAGCAACAAAAAAACAAGATCAGCGTTACGGTACACTTACTTAAGACGCTGGAAGTGAGAGACAGCACCTCTTCCAACAACGGTACAACTGGCGAATGATGTCTAAGCTCCATGAACCGGGGGCCGGCGGTCCACTGCCAGACAGAACTTCCGCCCACAAACGCCGAGGCAGGTTCTACAGTTCTATTTGATTTCGGGATGATTCTCCCAGGCTCCTGTACCCCTCGGCACCCCCTCCAAGTTCTTCGCAATAACCTCTATATGCTCTGCACCTAAAGCCGCAGAAGCCCCATTAGCCCAAAGCAGCCCCCGTTCTGACGCGCAGATCCAAAACCCTGCTCCCTCATCCCTCGTTAATCCGGAACCTGGCGACGTGGATCAGCGTCTCAGGGTTGCCATAGCGGAAGGGAAAGAGGCGAATGGCCTCGTCGCGGCAGGCCTCAGGACTCAGGAGCTCTGGTGGGTAAAAGGGTTTGGGATCTTGGGGGGTTTAGGGGGTTTGGAGCAGGCTGCTATCAGCTTAAACCTAAACCTCTCCGAGCCAACAGAGTGTCCAGCCAGCGTTGTGTGACAGTTACTGCTACTGCCCTTAAGTCCTTATAGTAACCATCACTATTTTCACGATGACCATTACTAGCGCGATGATCCCTGTGATCATCATCCCCATTGGATCTTCCTGTGGTAAACAGGTGACAGTCGGCAGCCCTCTGGGGCCTGGCTTGCCCAAAACATTTTGTGAAATCTAAGAAGCCAAGAAAGCCAAAGTCCCTGAAGTTCTGAACTCCGCAGAAGCATGAAGCCTCAAACCCTGAACCTCAGATCTCTGGAAGCTGATGCAGCTAGAACCCTAAACCCTAAACCCTCAACCCATGACACTCCGGAGCCCCGGTTTTTGAGGAGCTCGCATTGGCGCAGACATCCAGGATCAGCTCCTGCCAACACCCATACCCTTGACGCACGAGTAGAGTCAAAATGTGGGACTTCAGGAAGTTGACCTGATTTAAAAGCAATAATCATCACCTCACAAACAATGAATGATTCATGAAATTAGCAATAGGTGCAAGAGATTGCAAGAGCATACCTGGTTCGAGATGGTCGCGCGTCGGACAAGCTATATTGCATGATTCTGTGGCGCGTTGACGCGTCATGGGTTTCAAAATTCATAGTTTCGGGTCTTAAGGGTTCAGATAGGCTTAGGGTTCAAGGTTCATTAGGGGTTTAG